AGCAGTGACTTGACAATTATTATTATTGAGACAGGGTCTTGCTATGTATTCCAGGCTGGCTTTGAACTATGAACTTTTTTTTTTTTCTCCTGGTATCAGGATCAAGCTCAGGAACATGTCCTTTCAAGGCAGGCTCAGCGCCACTGAGCTAAATCCCCAGCCCCTTGAACTCACTATGTAGCCCATGCTGGCCTCGAACTTGTGATTCTCCTCCTAGCTCAGCCTCCTGAGTGCTGGGATTACAGGTGTGCATCACCACATCTGGCTTGAATTGGTATTTATTGTTAAATATTGGGTAGACTTTTGAGAAAAGGGGCTTTGGCTTGGAACTGGTCTTTGGTGTAGTGATACCGGAAAGGGTGCTGTGTGCATGGATTGGAGATTGTGACACTGTTCTCTCTGTGCTCATCTCTTTAGCAGCTGCACATGGGAATGGGGAGAATTTCATTTTTTAAAAACTCCTTTTTGTAATTTATTCTCAGGATGAAATACTTTTTTTTGGTGCCGGGGATGGAACTCAGGTTCTTGTGCTTGCGCAGCAGTGAAACCACTGAGCTAAATCCCTGGCCCCAGGATGAAATACTTTTGATCCTTGGACAGAAGATAGTATGGTACCAAAATAGGATAGTATCAAAATATGTCACTTAGAGTCAAGAGATACAGAGTATTGTGTAGCAGAAAATACACTAGAATGCTGCATGCACACAATTCATAGTAGTCTAGACTAGCACCATGCTATACTTTAGCTACTAATCACATCTAGCAGCATTTAAGCTTAAATTAATTAAGATTTAAAATTTATCCTCACTAGCCCCATTTTGGTGTTCTGTGGCCACATTTGACTGGTATCTGCTGTACTGACCTTGTGGATACAGACCTTATCATCGTTAAAGTAAGTTCTGATTGCCAATCCAGTCCTGCAGAAAGTACTTGTACGTTTTAGAAGGCTTGGCTTTATTTCTCAGTGTCTTCTTGTGAATATGTAGGAGATTTGATTAATGGTCATAGGGCTAGAATTTTGGGGGCAGGGTGTTACTGGTGATTGAATCCAGGGCCTTCACACTGAGTTACGTCAACCCCCCCCCCCCTTGGTATCTTTGTTTTGTTTTGTTTTTTTGGTACCGGGGATTGAACTCAGGTCCTTGCGCTTGCGAGGCAGGCAGGAGAACCACTGAGCTAAATCCCCGGCTCCCCCTTCGGTATCTTGAGACAAGAGTCTCAGGTTGTCCCTAAATTGCAATCCACTTGCCTCAGCCTTCCAGAGTGCTGGAATTATAGGTATTGTGCCACCACATCTGATTTGTGGATGTGGCTTCCTGACATTAACTCATTTCAGAACCAAAGAGTTGTATGTTTGCAAAACATTCCTTTAAAACAGGATAGGCAATAATTATTTAAGCTCTGAGGTCCAGGCAGACTTTTTACAACTGTTCAGCTCTGCCCTTGCTTGGAAGAAAACTGAAACACGTGGGCCTATTTGTGTTCCAGTAAGAGGCTGCAGTAATCACCGAATGGCCAGTGGACCAAAGGATAAGAATTTCCAGGATAGTGAAGTTTGGCCCTATTATAATAATATGCTAGAATCAAGCCACTTTGGTGTGACACCACCGTGTGTGGATGTGGGTGTGGGTTTGTGGGTGCTGGGATCAGCACTCAGGGCTCCAGGTGTGCTAACCATGTGCTCTACCACTGAGCTACATCCTCAGACTGGATGGCGCCTGTGTCCCTGGGTGTATGTTACTGGAAGCTTTGGACAGCATTGAGTTACTAGAGCCTAAGCTTGCTGCGTCTCATCTTGTTCTTTGTAGTTCTTTCCCTTCTGCATCAGCAGTTGACAGCATAACTCACCCCTCAAACTCCCCTGCAACCATAGTACTAAGTAGCTCCATGGAGAACTAAAAGTGGTGTTTTGGGAGAATAAATGAATATTCATTCATTAGTTTTTCATATACTGAAACATAGAGATTCAGCAGTGACAAAGGTGAGACTTGTATTTTAAAAGAATTGATGCAGTTGGGGTTAGGAGGGTGGCAGAAGGTTGGGGACAGTATGCAGCTGAGAACAGTGTTCTTAGGAAAGGGGCCTCTCAGTAGTTTTGGAGATGCAGTGGGGCCTGTGGCAAATAAAACATTAGAGCTAGCATAGTTTGCAGACAAAGTGTCCTAGACCTGTGGATCAGCACTAAGACATTTGGGGATGACTCCTTCATTTCCTACTTGAATGTACTTGCAGTATAGAAAGGGATACACGTTTTTGTGGGCAGTGATAACATCATTTTGGTTGAGTTTTGAGGTGTGAGAGGGAGGTATGCCGCATCCCATTGCACAGGAACACCATGAGGGAGGATCTGTAAGACTGTTTAACCCTTTGACAATGAATTTTAGCTGCTGCAGTCCTGTTGTCAGCCCAGCTTATTAGGGCCACTTGAAATAGGAATGTAAATTGATAAAATCTTTTTGAAAATTATTTTGTATCAAGAGCCTTAAAAATTCCTTCAGACTTAGATATTCTAATTTTGGAAATTTGGGCTAATTTTTTTTTTAAATACTGTCTTTGATGATTTTCTCTGGCTGTAATTGAATACATCAGGTTGAATAATATATTAAGGAGAAGAGATGTATTTGGTTCACTGTGTTGAACCTAGGGAGTTCAAAATCATGAGGCCATATCTGGTGGATCTTTTTTGATGGTGTAGGGCATCACAAGATGAGAGAGGCTGAGCTGCCTAACTCATCTCTTTTCTTATAAAGGCACAACCTCATTGTGTTAGAGCTCCACCTTTGTGGCCTTATTTAACCTTAATTACCTCCCAGAGGTCTCACCTCCAAATGCCAAGGCTAGATTAAGTTTCTACATCTCTATACCTCCCAGTGGGGAATAAATGTCAACTGGGTTTTGGTGGGGGATTCAAACCACAGCAAAAACTGTATGGACAGATTTTGAACACAAAAAGCTCTTCAGAAAGACAAATTCAGGTGTGTAAATTCCCAGTAGCGAGTGAGGTAATAGTTTAGTAAAATTTAGTTAAAGTGGAGTGTTAAATAGCCATTATGATCATATGATATTTGAGAACTTTTTTCTAGTCTAGGAAAATTCTTTTGGCAAAGATGAAGAATTGCAGGTGCCTCCTAGACTTTGATGTGCATATGGATCACCTGTGGGTGTTGGCGAAAAAGGCAGATTCCAACTTAGTAGATTTTGGGTAGGACTTGAGATTTTGCATTCCTAACCATTTCCAGGTGATCTGTTGTTCGTGTACCATATTTTAAATAGAAAGGTGCTAGATGAAATAACCCGGCACAGAAAGACAGATGCGTCATGGTCATACTTATACATGTGTGAGATCAGAGTAGAACCTGGTTGCCACAGACGGGGGAGGGGTGGAGAATGGGCGGCCTTGGTCACAGGATACAGTTGTGTTTACCCAGGAGGAGTAAATGGTAAGTATGTGAGGTGACTGATATGTAAATAGCTTGATTTAGTCATTCCACTTTGTGCCTGTATAACATCACTTCAAAAATATATTCATACTTCTTAACTGTGTACAGTTAGAATCTGTAAGTATTCAGTTTTTTAAATGCTAGGTGACTTTTCTTAACAGAACAGAGAAATATGCCAAAAGTTTAGAAATGGTTCCCTCTAGAGGAGGGTATTATTGGCCCTCTTTCCCTGAGTATATCACTTTTCTACATTTGTCATATTTTCATTGTGAACGTGTTAATTGTATAAATTAAATGCCTTCTATTTTTTGAGTGCTCACTATGTTTTCAGCCAGTGGTGTAAGTGAGTTTCATGCATTAGTTTGTTTTATTTTCAGTGAATCCTGATGAGTTGAATGGAGGAGAATGCTTACCTTATAGTTTATTGACTTTTTGTGGCTAATCCATGTTAAGTAGCTGGTTTAGTTAGTGCTCAGCTTCCATTAAATCTAAGCAAATGGAAGCTTCTATGATGATGATCATTATTATTATCTTGTTTTATGTGAGACGTGGGGCACAGAGGAAGGAAGTAATTTTGGGAACACTTAGCAAATAGGTGACATGACCTGAATTTCAGTACAGCTCTGTCTGACTTCTGAGGTGTCTGTTACAGCGTCTCAGGCTGTGGAGGGGCAAAGACAATGCATCTCCTGCCCATGCGACCTCTTCAGGTTGTCCTTGAGAACTTCCAGCCAGTCCACCGTATTCCACCTTCTAAAAGCATGGCTATGTTTTTGCTTAAGTTTGCTAACAGCTTCTTCTAAGTGTCTTTATTACTGTTCAGAAATTAGAGTGTAATTTGACATAACACAAAAATGAGAATTGTTTGGCCGAGTAGAGAGAATATTAGGGAACCAAATTTAAAAAAATTCATTTTCATTTAGTATTAAGTAAATGCCATCAGGGTAAAACACATTCATAGACATACATGTTGACATATAAGATGTAAGGAAGCATACAGTGTATACCCCTGAACCTACCACTGTTTTCCCCTCCAAGACAATAATGTTCCTGAATTTTCTTTTCCTTGCTTTCCTTGTAGTTCTCCACATAGGCTCTCCCCAAGCAATAAATTGTTTACTTGTGGGATTGTACCTTATATATTCTTCTTCAGCTTGCTTTTTTTTCAGCAAGTGTTTATGTTCCTGAGTTTTATTGATACTACTGTGTGTAGATGTACTTTATGCATTCCATCGTGTAACTATTCTGCAGCTTCTTCATTCAGTCTACTTCAGTAGACCTTCAGGTCGGTTTGTTATTTCTGACAGTGCTGTGGTGAAGATTGCTCAGGTTCATGCTGCCCATTTGCAGAAGTTTCCTGGGTGTATATCTAGGAGTACAATTGCTAGGTCATATGGCAGGTGCTGCAGTAAGCTCTACTAAATAATGGTAAATTATTTTCCAGAGTGGAAAGTAGTTATACTATTAGTGCATAAATGTCTTAATTATTCTACATTTTCACCTACATTTGATATAGTCAGGCTTTTAAGTTTTGGCAGTCTGGTTAATGTAAAATGACACTATGTGTATAGTATATTTAACTTTTAAAATTATGTTGTCTTAGGTGTGGTAGCACATGCCTGTAATCCTAGCAATTGAGAGGCAGAGGCAGGAGGATCTCTGCAAATTTGAGGCCAGCCCTGACTATGTGACTTCAAGGCCAACCTGAACTACATATTGAGACCTTGTTTCAGAAAAAAAATTTCTGTTCTCTATTTTAGTTTTATAAACAATCCCCAAATGACAGTAGACATATCTGGAAACTTTTGGAATGCAAATTGTGAATGTTGTCATGTGAAACACTGTAGAATTTTAATTTCATTTGCTTAACGTTTTTGTAGTATATAAGATCCTTTATGATATTTTCAAAATTCAACTTTGTTGGGTTTTAATTTCAAAATACATTTTGCATATTCTAAATTATTTTATTTTTGCAGTGCTGGGGCCTCACATATGCTAGGCAAGTGCTGTAGCACTGAGTACCTCAGCTCATTGTAAATTATTTTCACAGCAAAAATTTTCTTATTTTAAAAAAACCCTGGGTCTTGCTATGTGGTTCAGGCTGGCCTCAAACTTAAGGCAGTCCTCCTGCCCCAGCCTCCCAGGTGCTGGGATTACAGGTGCGCATCACCTGGTGACTCAAAATTTTGCTTCTTAATGATGATGAAATATAAGGCATTCAGCTGGTTTTGCAAGAAAAATACTTTTAGGGCCGAGGCTGTACCTCAGTGGTACTGCAGCTGCCTGTCAAGGCAAAGGCCCTGAGTTCAATTCCAGGTACTGGGAAAAAAAATACTTATTTTTAAAAATTGAAATCATAATAACTGTACATCAATTCTCCTTATGGTTCTTCTTTTAATTGGTGCAGATACTTCCCTTTGGTGCTTATAAACCATTTGTCTTTTGTTTGATTGCTGTGAGAAAAATTTGCAAAAATATGTGGAACTTTCTAAGTTGTTATCTGATAATTCACCAGATTGTAAATAATAGAACAGTATCCAACATAAAGGAATAATTACATGGAAAGACCGTCTTAAGGTTGGGCTCTGCTGAGAATTCTTTTGCCAATTTAAAAAAACACCTTTTATATTTTAGCACCAGTATGCATGAGCGAGTGAACCGAACAGAAAGACAGTTTCGATCACTTCCAGATAATCAACAGAAACTACTTCCTCAGTTTCTTCTTCACTTGGACAAGATCCGGAATTGTGTTGATCATAATCAAGAAATACTACTGACCGTTGTGAATGATTGCATACACATGTTTGAAAATAAAGAATATGGAGAAGATGTATGTGACAGTTTGTTCTACTTGTTTTTACTGTACCAATAACTAATACATTTTGAACTAGTCTTTAGTTATCTTCGTGGACTTCAGTTTTATAGTCTTGCACAGGTCATTTACTCTGCTCAGTGAATGTGTTCATTGTATGTCCAGTCATTTACTTAGACTGAATAGAACTGTGCCAGCAACTAGATTTGCTCACTGAGTCTGTTTTTAAATACTAAAATATTGTTGGCATTTTGATATACTTGTGATGTATGTTTTAAAGGTTCTGGCATATAAATTTTTATAAACAACTTTACTATGTAAAATTAATTTCCCTTGCTAAAACCATATATTTTTCTGTCTTACCTATTGATATGCATCTTTTTCTTTAAGAAATTATTTTCATGGAAATCTCAAGGGACTGGTAGTTCTAAAAACTGAAGTCTTTTTTACCCGTGGGATAGATACAGGGGGACTGCTCAGTGTGGGCCTCTCCCTGCTGTTCCAGCAATGGGCGGCAGGGGTGTTCTTCCCTCTCTTAGAAGACAGGACGTCCAGTCTCCATAGCAGCTCAGTTCTGGTCTCCTCTTGGTGGTTTTATGATTAATGACCCCTAATCTGTTGAGGATATTGTCACTTAGGATCTCATAACCCTAACCCTGTCCGGGCCCTTAGTAGCGTGTCCATTTACCCATATTCAAAATTGATTCTCAGAAGCTAATTGATTTCTCTTTTTTAAACAGGGCAATGGAAAGATAATGCCAGCATCTACATTTGACATGGATAAGTTAAAATCTACATTGAAACAGTTTGTGAGAGACTGGAGTGAAACTGGTAAAGCAGAAAGGGATGCCTGCTACCTGCCAATCATTACAGAAATTTTAAAACATTTTCCAAAAGAAAAATGGTAAATAGTATCTTGTTTTTAACCAAGTTCCTTAAGATGTATAAACATAGTTTCTCTGTAAGACATTTCACAATTTTGATTCATTTTTATAGGTTGCTCTGTGCCTGCATACTTTGCATGTGTGTTGTATTGGTTTTTGGATGCTTTGTGTGTGGTTGCAATTCATATTTTGAGTACATTTTGTCTATAGGAAGTTATTTAGGAATTACTATAAATAATATTAGAATGAATATTCATTATTACTGATACGCATCATTTTATAACTTGCAAAACAAAAGCTACACACTTTTACTTCTTATTATGACTGGTCAGCAAATGAGGTGTCTATACTTTTTTTTCTGGTTTTTTGAGACAGGGTTTCACTATGCATTTCAGGCTGGCCTTGAACTCAGTGATCTTGCCTCAGCCTCCTGAGTGCTGAGATTACAGAAGTGCCACCGTGTCCTGCTGAGATGTCTGTACTTCAGAAAGGAAGTTCTTAATTTCTTTGTGCCATGGAGCCCTTAGGCAATCTGAAGCCTTAGTGTACTTTTCAGAATAACATTTGTAAATGCATAAGTAAAATGCACAGGATTTCAAAGAAACCATTATTCTGAAATAGAGTTCTCAAAGTATGTAAGCACATTTGAGATATATTAGGCCTTTAGCCATACATTAAATCACTGAATATAGCCTAGCAGCAAGTGTGACTACTGTATTAAGAAAATACCCAGTGATGTGTTATTTTGGTAACCAAAACAACTGATGTGAAGTGAAAATAAATGTAATTTCTGTTAGTTCCAGGTACTGCTAAAACTACTGTTGCTTGTTGCCTACATTCATAATTGAGAAAAATACCAGTAAAGACTAGTGAAATTAAAATGTGATTTTTTTTTTTCCCATATCCCCTCTGACTTAGATGCTCTATAAATAGAACCACTGAAGGGAATTTAGTCTCTCACTTAAGGATCTTTGTATAGAGGCTTCTTGTCCACATCTCCTTCCCCTCTTCACTGATTGACAATTTTTAAATTGGGGTGTATCCTTCCAGAAATTTCAATACATGTATGTGTGTCTCTTTTCTCTCTTTTTACCTTTTTGTTTTAAAATAAGTTCAAAATTAGGGCAAAGTTGCATGACCTATACAAAGACATCCATGTACTTCTTACCTGAATTCATCAGTTTTTAGCATTTTATCACACTGCTTTGTCATTTCCATCCTTCCTCTCTCCCTTCTTTCACTACTTTATGCATGTGTCACTAACACTGGTACAGGACATAATACCAGACCTGAAATATGAAATATTATACCTCCCAACCTGTTAGCTGTTTGACAGCCAAGCTCTTGTTCTCTCATAATCGAAGAATGAATTCTAGGAACAAGGGAGGGCAAGAGTAGGAAGATATTTATTGGTAGGATAGCTCCTGGCATCCAGTGGGTAGCCCAGGGACTCCATTTTACAGAGCAAAACCCATGTGGGTACAACATGGGCCACAGCTACGATCAATCAAAAAGGTTACAAATGTAGTCACTCAGATAATAGTGGTCCACTTGGGAAATAAATCACATTAACAAGTGTGGATGGAAAGAACAAAGACTTCTTCTAGAAGATGATGGGTCCAAAGGTCCCTGGTCACCCAATGGGGTGTTTGATGTCTATCTAGACTTCATTAGGCCCAGTGTTTGTCCTTTGAGGAAGTATGTAGGTCTGGTCATCTTGTCTTTATCTTTTTTTTGGTACCTGGGAATCGAACTCTGGACCTTGTGCTTGTGAGGCAGGCCGCGGCACCACTGAGCTAAATCCCTGGGCCATCTTGTCTTTATCTTGAGGCCTGTCCTCCAACAGATATGTCTCTGGCAGTTGTGGTATGTTTCATCTTTATCCTGACTTCCAACAATATTTCTATCTAACTCATTTAGCTGTCTATAATAACACCACCCACACTTACCTGAACCATTTGATTGGTTTGTATACATCATACTTTTTTACTGCTTAATCATTCAGAGTTTATTCCTGAGAACAAGGATGTTTTCTTAAAGTTATCAAATTGAAGAAATGTAGCCTTCCATACTGTGATGGTATCTAACAGTGCATATTAAAATGTGTAAGTTGTCCTGGTAATGTCTTTTGTAAGTTTTCATCCAATCTAGAATCCAGTCCTGGATATTTCATTTAATTGTCAGTGTCTTAATCTTTAATTTAAAAGTGACTTGGCTTTTGACCATAGTGACATTGGGATTTTCGAAAAATTCACAGAAATTGTTTTATAGAATGTTGTGTGCTTTTCATATGGCACATCTGGAGACGTGCTATATCTCTGGGGTCTGGGTAGATATCATCAGGTCAGAAATTCTTTGCTCTTTTCTCCACAAATTGCTTTCTCTTCTTGGGACTCCTGTAACATATACATGAAATTGATGTCCTCTTAGGTTTTAAATGACTTTTTCCTCTGTATGTCATCCCCCAACTTTTTGTAATAAAACCTGCTTCAGCATCGCTGATTCCTTACTAGGCTAATCTGATAAGTCCTTTGAAAGGATTCTTTATTTCTGATACTTTATTTCTTTACATTTCTAGCACTTAGATATATTTTCTGTGCTGAGATTACCTGTTTATGCATGTGATTACCTTTTTTTTTTTCTCTCTGTACTGGGGATCGAACTCAGAACCTTGTGCTTGCGAGGCAGGTGTGGTGTCACTGAGCTAAATCCCTGGCCCACATGTGATTACCTTTGCCATTAGATGATTTAACATATCTTTCATGGGTATTTTTAAATCTGTGCCTGTTGATTTCATTATCTTTGTTTTTTTGGCTTTTTCTGCGCTATTTTGCTGTACTGGGGATAGAACCCAGGCCTCACACATGCTAGGAAGGCACTACACTATTGAGTGACATTACCTGCTATGGGTGTTTTTTTTTAATGTTTCCTGTCATAACAGTTTATTCCTTCTTCACATGTCTCATAAATTTTTGATTGAATGCCAGGCATTATATGTAAAGGAACAATAGATATGGAACTAAATAACATTAAAAATCAAAAAAAGCTATTTTACTTTATCTCGCAGGCTACAAGTATGGGAGCTAAGTGCAGAGTTTTAAGTGTTTAATTTCAGCTTTTCTAAATGAATAGTCTATTAAAAATTGTATACATCCTAAGTAATATGCACAGAACTAACTAGATTTCTGATCATTAAAATACTTTTCCTAATGTAAACACATTGGTTTTATCAGTTTGTTTTGTCCAGAATATAAGCAGAAGCAACTTGAAAGCCAGGGATGGATTGACTTTTGTATAGGGTCTGTATGTAAATAGGGAAATTCTGTCTAAGTTGTGTTGAATGCCAGTCACTCCAATATTTATTAGGCTCTGGTTTGTTTTAAATTGGTTTTGAACTCTGCTCTGAAAAACTACTAATTGAAATTAGCAACTAGAACATTTAACTTAAACTAACTTAAACTTAACTAAGCTTAATTTAAACTTAACTAAACTTACCTTAAACTCAGGGTTTCAACCTTTATATATAGATTCATAAGTTTTGTGCCAGTCTGAAAAGAGAGTTCATAACATACCACATTTTCTTACGAATCTTGAAAGCTGCTGGACTGTGTTTTTTAGATCTCAATGGCCCATTCGCTTTTAAAAGAATTCAGAGTAATATTTTGTTTGTGGAAGAAAATCTATTAATGTCCTGGCATTTCAGTGTACTCCAGGAAGATATTGATATATTATTGACCGGTGAATTTTTTTCTTTTACATAGCTGAGCATTAGAAAAAAAATACTATTAGTTTTAGACTAAAAAAGCATGGGCCTGGGGATTTAGCTCAGTGATGGCGCTGCCTGCCTCACAAGTGCAAAGTTCCAAGTTCGATCCCCAGTACCAAAAAACAACCTATAAAAGCATTTTTCCACATAGAGTAAAATAAAGAATGTAAATAGTAGTTTATGGAAGGATTTTGTTAGCTAAAGGAACCCATTTTAAAAGAGAAAATAGAAGAACTGCAGACTGCCAAGTAATGTGAAGTAGTTTAGAGGCTTAAGATAGATTTTTCATCCTGAAAGCCTTCCTAGAGAGAAGACAAGCATGTGTTTCAGATTTCTTTCAAATAAAAACTTTTAAGTATCCATAAATCTAGAGTAATAACCTAGTGGTAAAACATTCAAGACTAATAACCCTGTAGAAAAAATGATATAAATGGATAGTTTGCAGAAAAGAAATAAAAGATGCTCACTCTCACAGGAAGATGCAGATGTAGAAGCCATATTAAAAATGGCATCCATTTTTCACTTAACTGCATTCCAGAGATTTGGAAGATGTAGTGAAGGTGTGGGAAGCATGCTGCTGGTAAAAGAATAAACTGATAAAAAAAAATCTTATGGGGGGCAGTTTGGCAGTCTTTGTCAAAATGTCAGTGCATGACTTGATTCTTGCAGTTCAATTTCTGGGAAGCTATTCTACAGATATACTTTTGTGTGGAAATTATTCAGGCCAACTGTTGTAACATTGAACTGTAAAAGATTAGAAATAATCTGAATGTCTTTAATTGAGATGCTGATAAATTATAGTCCCATCATTATGCAGTGAAGTAAAGGAAGTCATGTGTACTACTAGGGAAGAAGTTTCAAGATGGATTACTTAGATTAGTGGTTGGCAGACTTTTTCTTTTTGTTTCTGTTTTGGTACCAGGGATCCAACTTAGGACCTTGTGCTTATGAGATGGGCACTGGAACCACTGAGCTAAATCCCCGGGCCAGGAGATGTATTTTTAAAAAGAAACCAATTATGAGTAAAGTTGAAACTGCCTTGCAAACCATTCAGAGCACGTTCGTCATTTTTTAAAATAACCACTAACATACACTTGCTTTGTTACTCTAATCCTGCATTGCTGCATTAACTAAGTGTTTATATAGTGGTAAAGACATCATACTCCTGTGTATTTTTTTATTTTATATTCTTCTGTATGATTTTTTTGGGAGGGGGTACCGGGGATCAAACTGGGGACCTTGCACTTGTGAGGC